AAAAACTCTAGGTTTGTAAAACAAACCAAACAGTAAACCAAAAAGACCAATGGCTACTGAGGAGTGACCAAAAAGGGAGGATGCAAAAAAAGTAGAAGGTGTGAGAGTGGGGCGGAGAATGTTTTGTAGAACTACAGAAAAAGCCTTGTTGTATTTGTGAAATGTACCTAAAGTATCTCTGAACAATGGCGATTAGTCGAGAACAAACAAACAGCAAGGCCCGCTAATGAATCACTCTTCAATAAACAAGTGGAGCACACATGCACACACACACATAGAGCCCACGTGCACGAGCAAAGAGCGATAATGACGTTCTTTGTGGCGTTTTTGGGGTAATTAGGGCTGCCTAAATGGCGGGTGAAAAGGATTTGCAGCTGATTGTTTGTCCTTGTGTCTTTGAGCTATGGGCCCGCTTGCTCCACTGAGTGTCAACACTGTCTCCCATACTGTCTCCTCACAGCATACAAAAAAAATCCTTTTTCTTTTTCATCCCGTCCAACAGCCGAGCCTTCCCCCTGCCTCCTTCGATTCTCCCTGGTCTTCTTTTTCCTGCATGTTCAAATTATTCGAGCTTGTCAGTTTCCCCTACGGTTTACACTCTCGCTCACTATTCTTTCTCTTGCCGGTCCTCTTCCTTCCCCATCTTCTGCTGCTGAACAGCTGCTGGCTCCAATTGTGTGGCAAGAACACCATAATCTGTCTCACACATGCCAAAGATCATGCCTGCTTCTGGGTTAAAAATAAAAAAAATAAAAAACTCAAGCATTTCAGCAGAACTGCGTGCCCTTTTTCTCTTAAAGGAACAGTTCACAGTTTGGGGAAATATAAATAGAGATTTCATTCTAAGGCTGATTTCAGAAAAGAAATCATTTAGATTTGCAGATTAATTATGCTCGAAATGAAGTCCGCCCTTGGTTAGCCTAGCTTTAATTGAAAGGTTAAGCAAAAACAAACAGCTAGCTTAGTTGCAGTTGACCAAATTATGCAGCATTTTAGTTTTAAATGAAGAAAATATTAGGGAGTGTATGTGATTATCAGCAACTTTTTAAAATCTTTTTAAATTTTTTTTTACTTGAATGGTCATGTAGCTTTAGCTCAGAATAAGGTGTCCAAGGAATGCTAGACATTTCATTTTTATCCACCAGGGGGATGGTTTGTACCAGCTATGACAACCACTAATTTAATTGTCCATAATCTGCTTATAGTTCACTGTAAGGAAATTTGTTTTTAGGACTCGAGTAAATAATATATACTTGTGGGAGGGAGCCCAGGGCTATTTTGGTTTGATCACAGGGCATAATGTCATATTTCGTAACAGTCAACTAAAGCATATGGGGATCAGAACTGCAATCAATGGAAATAGTGTAAAAAGAAAATATTAAGTTAAAAATTTCCTATGAAAATATGCAATTTAATTGAAATATACATCAAATTTGAGCATTTCTGTTACTGTTTATCTCTAAAAAGTCTACAAAGAAAAACAAACACTAGAAATTTATAGGTTTAAGAACATCGGCATGAGATTGGTTGTTTTTAGGGGTATGAAATGGAAGACGAAAGGCATAAAATGCTAATCTATGGGTAAAAAATTTGGTCACAAATTGGCAAAGGGGCAAACTGACCCACAGCCATTCTCCACTAAATTTACTACAGAGTGTATATTACAAAAGTGGAGTTACAAGTCAGAAAAATCGACTGAAATATCCTCTGGAGTCAGAGTTCTCGCAGCAATGCAGCGTTTAATGTTCAAGATGGCAGCAAAGTGCTGGGCATCATCTATTTATGAACTGGAACTGGAACATGGCTAAGCTTGGCATGATGTTGTTCCCGAATCAAAGTTCTGACTTTCAGACCATATGGAATGAAGCATTAGGTATTGCTAACATAAGCATGCCACTGCTAACATTAGCACCTCATTGTTTTCCGTTTAGAAACTTTGCAAAAATGCTCTATGAAAAGAGTAAATGCCTAGATCTGTCAGCCTGATCCAGAGGATTTGGGAACAGTTAGAGAACAACCACTGTCTTCAAGCCTATACAGTAAACATGCTAAAGATGTGTAAAACCAGCATTTCAAACAAATGCTCACTTCTTAATTATTACACACATGCTAGCCTACAACTCTAAAAACTGCTTTGTTAGGAGTTTTTTAATCTTGCTCTGTATCAAATACTCAGGCTGGGGCCGGTAGTATAATTGTGTGGTTTATATTTTGGCACATTTTGGGTCCTTTAGTAACAGTAACAGCCTTGTCTAAACCTCAGTTTAGTTCAGTGTGTTCATCGTTTTTATGCAGTACTTCTGTTCTTTGTTAGATCAACTTTACCATTTGGACCACAAAAGAGTCAAATGAAAAAAAAATCTATTTTACAATCAAACCCCAGAGTTACTGGTTAGCAGCGTCCTTAGATTCAAAACTTTCTTCAAAGAAAGATAACTCCATGCTAACTCCTGTTTCTAGTCTTTATGTCAGGCTAACTTAATTTTACTCAAGGATTTTTTCCCCTCCATCTCACAAAAGCAGCATATATATTTCCCAAAATGGCGAACAGATGGGTTAGCGAGAAAACTTTCATCATTAAGTTCATAAGCGTGTGAAAGCAAACACACACCTCATGTCTGCATGCCTGTGTGTATAGTCCAAACATCTGTCTGTGTGAACATGCTCATTATGTTGATCAGGGGTCATGTTTGCATGAACCTTCAGCACTAAATCAAGGCTATATTAGCAGGGTAATGCGCTCCGCTAATGGCAGAGGTCAACCTAAAGGTGCGCTTGGTTAAAACACCCCCTTTGCCTGATTATCGGACCTCAGTGCATCCTGGAACAAGCGGATGGCTGCAGCACAATGGCGACTTTGTTTTTGTGGAACCGTGACACACGAACGGGAGAGGTTTGCGTAACCGTTCCGGTGTGGACGTACAGACACTGCAAGAAGGTTAAAAGAATCATACATTGTTAACCAGGTCCAATCCAATTAGGGAAGTATTCTTCTTGTTTGACCTTTAGCAGGGGAGATGTATTCACACTCACTCATGCAATCAACCTCAAAACCGCCGCTGCCACTCCGCAAACTCTCACAAACAACATCCGCACAAACACACCATCGCGCAAACATGACAGTCACGCAAGCAGCATGCAAACACCCACAAAATACATTCACACACATACAAACACACAGACAGTAGCGGCGCTCTGATTGCTGACCTAATTCGGCCAGGCGATCTGTCACTTTCTCTTACTCACACTCAGCACACATCTTTTTTTTCATCTTTGTCCTCCCCTTTCTTTTCTTTTTTCTTGCCCAAATATCCCTCGCTCTCTCTCCCCGTGTCACATCAAATCAGCTCATACCTGTTCCTCTCCTCTATTATTTTTCCCAGAAAAGCATCTGCCTTATTTGTACCACTAATAAAGAAGATATGGGCATATGGTGGTGTATGCCCGCTGTGCTCTGCAAACTCTTTGTACACATATTCCCAAGCTTATAATGAAGATACATTCAATGAGCCTGGAGGAAGAACCAGGCTTAGTCATTTAACACTTGAGTTGACTACTATTTTTTTAAATTAAGCCATCTTTTCCACTATCCTTATTCTCTTATCCACAGAGAGATCCAGATAAACTTTATCTCTAGGGGAGGAAATTAGCTGGATCCTGTGCGCTAAACGCCTGCTGGCCACCTCCATTCCATTTTCCACTTATGCACTTTATTTGAGGCTATTTTCACAGATGAGAGTTTGACTGAGGCAGTTTGCCCCGAGTATTCGATGTGTTTGGTGGAGTGTGAAAAATGTGTTGCGGGCTAGAAAAAGCAGTCCTGAGGTCCACCTTTTAGAATAGGTGCCGCTACAGGGGCCTGGCTGCAGGCGTGTCCTCCGGGGGCCGCAAATATAAACACGCTTGAAGTTGAAAAATGCATCGCAGTTTAACACAATTTGATTCAGGGTGGTCTAAATGGGGGAGCCCCTTCCATGAATTATAGAGTCGGGTTTCTTATACCTTCACCAATGTCAAATTCAAGCCCTTTTCAAAAATTTTACAGTGAACTTCTAGTTTTTTTCAGGAACTTAAACATAGTATAGTACTCCGTATGACTTTACTCCTTAACACATACAACTAAATTTTCTTTTGGTTCAAAGAACAGAAACTGACAAGGGGAGCAAAAGTTTTAACTGATTCTCGGCTTAAAAAGTTATGTGGACTAGTCCTTGAGGAAGGCATGTTTTCTAACCTAAATAATAAAACACATATAAATAAGGTTAAAGTAAGACTAAAAAGATGTGACAAGTGCAGATTCATGTTGCCTGGATGAAAAACAAAAGTGTTCTAATATATTTTTAATGTTCTGAGAGTCAGGTGGATTTTGTTTTTCTTGTGGAAGTTAGATTAAGGATATTTTGGGAGGGCAGCTTATTGTCCTGTATTATATTTTATTGCATCATATTGCATCTCATTGTATCATTTTGTAACTTATTGTATCCTACTGTAGCTCATTATATCATAATACATTATAATATATTATGCAGTATATTATTGTATTCTATTGTAAATGTTTATTATTTATTGCACTTTATACTGTTGTGTCATATAATTTTGCATCTCATTGTATCATGTTTCTTTTTTCAGCTTTTTGTATTAAAATGTATTTTATTGTATCTTATTGTAATGCTTTGTGCAGTATTTATTGCAACTAATTGTATTGTATCACATATCACCCTAATATATCTTTTGGTATAACATTGTATTGGGTAATGAAGTATCATGCACTATCATGTTTAATAGTAATAACATATTATATTGAGATATATTTTGTTATATTTTATTGTAATTTATTTAATTTTAAGATACTGCAGGTGTGAATTGGCTTTAGCTATACTCTGGTTTAGTGCATCAAATGGCAACATTAATGTTTGAGCTGTACTTGTGTTATTTAAGAAAAGTTGATTCAAGTTGCATCATAACTTGAGTTATTTTGTATCATATTGTATCATACATGGTGCATGGTGGTGCAGTTGGTATCACTGCTGCCTTGCAAGAAGGTCCTGGGTTCGACTCCCAGGCTGGGGGTCTCTCTGCATGGAGTTTGCATGCTCTCCCCGTGCATGCGTGGGTTCTCACCGGGTACTCCGACTTCCTCCCACAGTCCAAAGACATGGCTGTTAAGTTAATTGGTTTCTCTAATTTGTCCTTAGGTGTGAATGAGTGTGTGTGTGGTTGCTTGTCCTGTGTGTGTCTGTGATGCCCTGCGATGGACTGGCGACCTGTCTAGGGTGTACCCTGCCTCCCGCCTTAAACTGCTGGAGATAGGAACCGACTTCCAAGCAACCCACAATGGAATAAGCGGTAGAAAATTACTAACTGACTTTTAAATGAAGAATTTGCAGCTCATTTAAAAACACTGTGTAGTGAGGATTATTAAAAAAGGAACCCAGTGAAACTATTTTACAGCAAAACAGCTGCTGTGGCATTCATCTGGTGTTCATTTCATTGAAATTCTAATGAAAGGCCATTGGACCTAACTCGATACTCAATGTTTTTCTGAGGCAATTTGTGGTGAGTCTTCTCTTTAGCTGGACAAGTTGACCTAAAAACCATGCCAGAAAAATAGTCATAAAGCCACTACAGTGGTTCAGGTTTATACCCTGTAACTTGCCACCGGACAGTTGAGAAAGAACCAGATATACTTGTGTGTACTTCCTCCTCCCCATTTCCTCCTTTCTCCCTTGTGTTACTGCTAGCTTTAGAGTCTGGCAGGAGGCTTAAATCAGAGGGCTTAAACTTGATCAAATATTCAGCAGATATAGATTTCCGAGAGTGCCTCGATCCACCGCCTCTTCCACTCAGCTGCTTTTCATTCTCTCCATCTTTTTTTTTGACTCCTTCACTGTTGCTCCTCTCGCTGCATTCACAAACAAAGTTGTGCGTATGTACACACACACGTGCAGCAACGCTCATATGCACATAGGGAATCAGAACCTAATGTAGACAGCTGCCCATTTAGTATGCAGAGCAATGTTTATGCTTTGCTTTCTCTCCCTCATTGTCTCTTCTTCTTTCCCCTCTGTTTCACTCCATTTCGCCATTGCCACCCATATTTTTCTCTTAATCTGTCTGCAATCTTTCTCTCCCCTCCCACCTAGACTGTGTGCCATTTATTCCAGCTTAAACCTGATAAATAAACCAGTGAGTACCTCTGCATTATTGAGCGTGGCGACATTGCTGGCTGTCTGCCCCCCAAAGTCCGACAATTAGACCATATTCACACACACTAATTTGTGGCTCCACCCCTGTACAAGTAGTGATACTATTTTGTCACGTTACAACCACAAACTTTAAGGTATGTTATTGGGATGTTATGTGATAGGCCAACACAAAGTAGTGAGAAACTGTTAAGCTCAAGGAAAATGAAACATGGGTTTTAAAAATACGTCTGAAACATGTGACGAGCATTTGTATTCAGCCCCCTTTATCCTGATATCCCTAGGTAAAATAAAGTACGACTATTTGTAATCGAAGTAGTAAGTAGAGTCCACCAGTGTGTAATCTGATCTCAGTATAAATGTTCTGTAAAGACCTCAGAGGTTTGGTAACGAACATTAGAAAATAAACAGCAGACAGGTCAGCAATTAAGTTGTTGAGAAGTTTTAAAGAAGAGTTAGGTGGTAAAACAATATTGAAAGCTTTGGGATCCACTTGCAAAACTCTATGTGTAATTAAATTAACAGTGCGCATCAGCCAATTTCCTCTGTGAAACAAAGCAGTGGCAGCATTATGCTGTGGGCATGCAGGAATAGGACAAGCTGGTTTGAGTTGATGGAAAGACGGATAGAGCTAAATAGTCGTTGCATCACGTTTTTAGTTGACCCTCTTGAGTAAATTTGTGGGGGCNTTAACAACCGACTTGTTAGGAATTAATCTGCTGATCCGATATTGTTTTGTTTTTCAGTGAGAATGAAATGCCTCTTAGATGATTCACATGCATTTTATACTCCTCAGCACACAGACTGGTGCACATTTCCATCTACAGGGGTTGGACAATGAAACTGAAACACCTGTCATTTATTGTGGGAGGTTTCATGGCTAAATTGGACCAGCCTGGTAGCCAGTCTTCATTGATTGCACATTGCACCAGTAAGAGCAGAGTGTGAAGGTTCAATTAGCAGGGTAAGAGCACAGTTTTGCTCAAAAATTATAAATGCACACAACATTATGGGTGACATACCAGAGTTCAAAAGAGAACAAATTGTTGGTGCACGTCTTGCTGGCGCATCTGTGACCAAGACAGCAAGTCTTTGTGATGTATCAAGAGCACGGTATCCAGGGTAATGTCAGCATACCACCAAGAAGGACGAACCACATCCAACAGGATTAACTGTGGACGCAAGAGGAAGCTGTCTGAAAGGGATGTTCGGGTGCTAACCTGGATTGTATCCAAAAAACATAAAACCACGGCTGCCCAAATCACAGCAGAATTAAATGTGCACCTCAACTCTCCTGTTTCCACCAGAACTGTCCATCGGGAGTTCCACAGGGTCAATATACACGGCCAGGCTGCTATAGCCAAACCTTTGGTCACTCATGCCAATGCCAAACGTCGGTTTCAATGGTGCAAGGAGCGCAAATCTTGGGCTGTGGACAATGTGAAACATGTATTGTTCTCTGATGAGTCCACCTTTACTGTTTTCCCCACATCCAGGAGAGTTACGGTGTGGAGAAGCCCCAAAGAAGCATCCCACCCAGACTGTTGCATGCCCAGAGTGTAGCATGGGGGTGGATCAGTGATGGTTTGGGCTGCCATATCATGGCATTCCCTTGGCCCAATACTTGTGCTAGATGGACGCGTCACTGCCAAGGACTACCGAACCATTCTTGAGGACCATGTGCATCCAATGGTTCAAACATTGTATCCTGAAGGCGGTGCCGTGTATCAGGATGACAATGCACCAATACACACAGCAAGACTGGTGAAAGATTGGTTTGATGAACATGAAAGTGAAGTTGAACATCTCCCATGGCCTGCACAGTCACCAGATCTAAATATTATTGAGCCACTTTGGGGTGTTTTGGAGGAGCGAGTCAGGAAACGTTTTCCTCCACCAGTATCACGTAGTGACCTGGCCACTATCCTGCAAGAAGAATGGCTTAAAATCCCTCTGACCACTGTGCAGGACTTGTATATGTCATTCCCAAGAAGAATTAATGCTGTATTGGCCACAAAAGGAGGCCCTATACCATACTATTAAATTATTGTGGTCTAAAACAAGGTGTTTCTGTTTCATTGTCCAACCCCTGTACATGTGACAGAAACAAAGAAAGTTTCACAGTTTCCATCACCAATGTTGTTAACATCAGTGTGTTACGTTATTGTATGAGGCTAAATGTAATTCAGTTTCATCGGGTTTTAAAACATAAAAACTCATTAAAAAACATCGGGTTTGATGCTCCATGACTGAAATTAAACTGAATGGAGTCATATTTCAGTGTATTTAGTTGAGTTTTAGTCATCTGTGGTTTATTATTGTCGTTTGAAAAAGTTTGCGTGGCTTCCACACATTTTCACAGCAGGTCAAAAGTTTACGTGAATTTACGTACACTTTCACGCAATGTTCATTTTTGTATATGCTGAGCTGTGTGTAAAACATTCCGCCACAAGGTTTTTGTGCGTAAGCACGCTTCATTCATGAGGCTCCAGATGTCTTCAATGTGCTCATTAGAAGTCAGAGTAGGCCATTTTGACAAAAATCTGCCTGACACTTCCTCTTCACAGTCTACATAAGAACAAGCATTTTCACGCTTATGCAGCCTAAAGTGTATACCTTGAATGATAATTCACTTACACAAAAGAATTTCTCCTTCTTACCAAGCCACTGATGTTGAGGAATCGTGGAAAGACATCCAAGACTGCCAAAGAGCACTGCTGATCTTCAACCAATGTTTGGTGGAACTGAAATTTGGCCCTCATCTTCTTTGGTTGCCGATTCATCAGTTGAATGTTTAAAAAAAGGAGTTGCTCACCAAATGCTCACCAAGCAGTTGCTTATCAGTGCAGACTACCTCCCTCTTTCTCTGTGGACTGTCTTGATAGGGTGTACGGATGGAGGATCTCTGGAACTGAGCTGCAGTGTTTATCCTCCTGATGAACAACAACAAATCTGATGAACATCGGCTCATCAATGGCAGAGATCAGCTGATGCTGCTTGGATTACGAACCCATTTTGTCACAAACACAGACAGTTTTCCAGTGGAAATAATTCGGCAAGACTCCTCCAGCCAGCGGAGAGCTACAGATAAAAAGTAACCAGAAGCGGAAAGAAGTAGGGCGGTGTCCAAGCCAGACTTAAAAGGTACACTTTAAAATAGGGTCCATTCCCTTCAATCATTCTAGCGAATGTGCACTCCTTCTCCAGAAAAACAGATGAGCTGCAACCTAACGCCAATCACATGCATGAATATAGGACTGCTTCTATTCTTGCATTTACTGAAACTTGGCTAAATGAGAATGATAACGATGATTCGCTGCATATTGATGCCCCCAGCTAAACAGCAGGGCAGAGGCATGTGTCTCTATGTAAACACTCGCTGGTGTTGCATGATTGTGATGAGAGAAAAACAGTGCAATGCAGACATTGAACATCTGGCTGTTTTCCTTCGCTCTTTCTACCTTTCTAGAGAATTTCGTTATTTTGACCTATATCCATCCCAGAGCCAATGCTGCCAGAGCTATTGAACATATGACTTGTATGTTTACCAAACATGGAACAGTTTTCACCAGAACCCTCTAAATTTATTTCGGGTGATTTTTATCACTGTTTTCCTGATAAATTCCTTAACGGTTTTCAGCAGTATGTTACCTGCACCACTTGGATGGGAAAGTCTCTGGACAAATGCTATAGTTCTGTCCCAGGTGCATACAGATCATGCCCTCTATCTCCTATCGGCTGTGATGATCATCTTTCAACTTTGCTTGCCTCCACATATACTCTACTATTCAAGAGCGTAAAGAGGACTGTTAAAAAAAATCAAAAAGTGGACAGCAGAAAGCATTAAAAATTTACAAGAATGCTTTAAAT